TTCAAATTTTAATTTTTTTTTTACTATTGATATTAAAATTTTAATTTGCACATTTCCCCCCTCTTTAAATTTATTTTTGCACCCCCAAATTTTTTATTTTTGACCAACTTGTCTACAATTATCAATTAACAATTCAACACTTCTTTTATTTTACTATTAATTTTGTATATTAATTATTATCATTCTACAATTTTAATTGACCCATATAAAAGATTTCAACTCTCTTTTATTGTACAGGCTATTTTTTGACCAAAAAATGGAAACCGAATTGGATCGAACCGAAAGAAAATAAATTGAACTGAACCGACTTATGTGTAACTGTAACTGAAACTCAGTTACCGAAATATTATCGATTAGGTATCGGTTATGAACCATGTAACCCATTATGTCGTATCTTTTGCCCCCTCTCAACTAATTTTCTGGTTTCGCCCCTGGTCGGAGGAGGCAGAGAGGTCTAGGTGGAGCAACAATGGCCAAAGGGCAAAGGTACCGAGAAATCCTTGCCCTTAGCGCCGCAAATTGTTAGAGCCATTCTCCTGGGCCATGGAGATGAGGAGACTCGATCTCAATCAACAATCGGATCTCCAATAAACACCATCCCCAAGGTGGCCTCAGACATCGGCTGACACCCCCTTTTTGTCTTTCGAGAGGGGGAAGCCAAATCAGCTCCAAGAGAGGATGAGGCTCTTTTAGCGAAGCTTGCTCCTGGGAATTCATCGTCTCGAGACCGGATGATGGTTTTGTTGATGTACGTGAAAGGCCACCTAAATACCCTGTTGGGCAAAGTCGCGGTGCTGAAGGAGTTGCGTGATGCCGGCTTTTGTATCCCACCTAGGAGGAGGATGTTAATGTTTATACAAAAAGCTTGACCTTTTATTATGAACACCATTTCCGTTTGAATGAGAATCATGTTTAATTAAATGTTTCTACGTTATGTTGTTTTACATTTAGATAAATATGGTTAATTACAGATAAACAGAAGATCATATCATCAGTTACTTGTAAAACATAGACGGGTGCACAACCTAGATAGAATTGAACAAACTATCGAGAAATGTTGTAGTTTAATTTGTATCGATTGTCTTGACTGATAAATTATACTAGTACACGGAGAATGCATTGAATGGACATGCAGAGGATAAATTTATTTTACTCCAAATAAATAAACTAGACATCAGTAATCACTGTATAATTTTAAGCTTCAAGATAATAATGAACACGTGCACTCAGTAGTTATTTCATTGATTCACAAAATAATGAGATTCTTTATGCTACATATGTTTATTTTATAGATTATTCTTACATTTTTTTTTTTTGAACAAGGTTTCAAATCTCATTGGATAAAATTCATTTCATCTGAGTAGTTTGTTGTCAAGATACATACACATTCTCAAATGAGTCAATTCGGAATGCAGAATTTGCATTAGTTTTAAATGCATACTTGTTACATTGTTGGCGAGAAAAAATTTAAAAACAAGTACCAAGATATTGCAACCAACTGAAATTTTATTCCAAATTTCAATACTACCACAAGAAGAGTTCTCGCTAACATGCCAACAAACGTTTAGCTGGAGCAATCTATTAATAAAAATATAACTAATAACAAGAGTATTAAAATGGAATAAAACTCGAGGATGAACATATTAATATCCACACATCTCAAGTTAAATTTATATGAGCTCTCAGGTTTTTTTCTGCTTTGTCTGCTTTGTTGGAGGTGGAAACAGAAAACGGAAGACCCATGCAGCCAGTATTGCTCCAACGAAGGGACAAATCCAGTACACATATAACTGCTCCCATGTATTGTGCTTGTTGTTTATGTAAGCCCAGCCAAATGCCTGCACAGGTATTAATGGCGGTGAAGCAAACGAGAACACGCAAATATGTTCTAAGAAGTTGTTTTGGCATCATAATTCATAAGTTCATCTGAATTATAAAATAAATACCAGCATTCAATCGAGAGAAACGGAATAAGTGATCAAATTTGTTACGTATATCAGTTGTCAAACAAACAGAGTTACCAAAATTGTGCTGAGCAGCATACAAGGATATGCTGAAACACATTAAACGGACAATTTCATTCAAGGTGACCAGATGTAAGCAAGCTTCAAAATCTCACATACTAGAAGGTAATTCCAAAAGTCCTGTCCTACTATGTGAACTTGCTTCGTTCACAGAATCGATCACAGACGAATAAACTTATAATAATAGAACAATACAAATGTTATCAAGATATCTGCACAGAATTTCTCTATATAGTAGATGTATAAAGAAATAATCTATATTAAGATATGAAATTATTAGTTTTTAGTTACCGCAGGTGATCTCACATGCTAATATATGGTGCGGAGAATACCGCAAGGGCAGTCCAGCTGAAACCACTACAACTTGGAAATATAACATAAATTTTCCATCATTGGGAAGTCATCAAGATTAGTTGCCCTTGTCTATGTAAAGGCCTGCGGATCCACCCTGTTTGAACTTTAATGCAAATCGAAAATGGCTATTTATACTACCAAGTGTGCCTACAGTGACTAAATGTTGGTTTCAAAACCTACGTCATAAGCACTTGCAAACAAAGATGAAAACCAAGCAGTGTTAATACACTCAGAGAACCAGGTACCCTTCTCTGAGCACCTTTTTCTATTGCCAAATTAAAATGACAAGTTGGCAACTAACCTACTGTTTCAAAAAACAGGGGTCAAATGCTACCATCTTCATCCCAGTATGATTTTCTATTTAACGATGTTGCTCAACCAATTTGATTTATCTTTTTCCACTGTAATACTGAAATAACATCTGTTCTCCAAATATCCGAATGACTGAAAGACTTAAATATCATGATTCCAAATATTCATGACTATAATATTAGCAAAAGTAGTGATATTATTATGTATACATACCCATATTATAAAATTCAGCATTGATTGTAGTAATTAGCAACTGATTAAAAAAATATCTCAGATTCTTTCATTTACCCGATTGTGGTGGCCAAGATATATTTTCTACAATTCTTCTAAGTGCTCAAATCACAGTGATGGAGATAAATATCGTAATCTTAAACCGCCCCCAGATGTGACTCTCAAACTCAAAAAATTTGAGATCCTATGACCATCTCTACTTCTCTAGGTATGAGTCTCAAACTCAAAATCAAAAGTTCATAATTATTAATACTACATTTAATTTGACCTCTTCCCACAAGTCCAAAATAAAACCAATTTGGAAAAGGAATAAACACACACACACACACAGACCCAAAGGTCTAAAAAATATTGCCAACTTGCAAAGGCCCAAGGGGGCCAACAACAAATGATGGCAACTTAAATTATTCAGCAGGTTTACCCGGAAACCTAGGGAAAGCTTAAAAGCTACTAAGTACTAGCTGAAAGCTTCTTGAATCAAACGCTATAGCATTTCAAAATTATAGCGTTCTTTAAGATGTAAGCTAACTATTTAAACACCAAAATAAATCAAATAAGAGATTTTTCAAGCAGTGAGCTATTTCTAAGCGCTTACACCAAACATACTCACAGACTCACGATACAGTCAGAAACACAGATACTCGCACTAACAAGTCACAACTCTTAATTGTAATTTATGTCAAAAGCTAAACTTTAATTTCCTTGATTCTCTTTTTAGGTGCAGCACTACATGAAACTCTTAATTGTTATTTATGTCAAAAGCTAAACTTTAATTTCCTTGATTCTCTTTTTAGGTGCAGCACTACATGGTATCTCATTCTTCTGGACAAAGAGACTAAACTTGAAAACAAAACATCTCAAAAACATTTAAGAGGATCTATTTAAAGCCAACTTTGATGGTATATCATTTGGGGAAAGAAAGAATGGAACTAGATCTCACTAAAAGAAAGTGCATCAAAATATGACCACAAATTCTTATATGAAGTGAAAAATAGATATAATTAAGGGAAACTTGGTAACTCATGCAATAAACACCAAGATCGTATTACCTAGTATCTCATTAAAAGAACAAATAGGACGGTGCCTCTATTAGAGAGTAAAAGACTCTAGTTGAACTCCAGGTACAACATATTAAGAGAGAGTAAAGCTAACTGCAAAATATTATTTACTATCATAAATAAACTAGAACTTAAATAGAGCACGAATGACAAAAGTAACAAAAACCAAAAACATAAGGAGAAATGTAGCTTACATTGGCAGGATTCATGGAAGGCCCAGTATAACTGGCACCCGCAACGACTAGAGCCACAGTTGACATAGCTAGCAGCAAGTTCTTTATGATTGGGCTTCTAGGACCCCTGATGATAATAAGGAGGACCGCAAAAGTGATTGCAAAAGTCAAAACGCCCTCAGCAATTGCTCCGGTGTGCAAGTCAACCTTCAGGGAAGGACCTGCAAGCATGTGTTTGTACTGTATCGGCATAACCTCCAAAATCGCAAGTGCACCACACACTGCACCAGCTGCCTGTCGCACATATACTGAAGAATTCAGTTACTTGAGGAAAATCAAAAGGTCAACACCTGGAGGTTTACAGAACAAGCACTTGGGCAAAATTGACCCTCAACGAGTAGAACAACTAACTGCGAACTGTAAAACCCTAGTGATTAAATCGTTGCCGAACAAAACGATCCCAATTAACGGTATATTATGAGTCAACGAAAAGAAGTAAGGGTGAAGGAACAGAAGAACAAGCAAGGGAGAAGATTTTAAGGCGACCTGAGCTGGGAAGCGGATGGCGGCAGAGACCAGAGAGTCCGGGCCACCGAAGCCGGCGGCGTAAAAGGCGGCGGTGGCGGTGGGATTGAAGGTGGCCCCACCCAATAGATCTCCGATGAATCCAAAGACGAACAGGAGGATGAAGACGAGGAGGGTGGTTATGACGAGGGTGGGTAGGCCCTGGGCTACACCGAGGGCGGAGGAGACCACAAACGTAAGGGCACCGAGGGACGATGCACAAAAGATCCACATGAAGGTGAGGAAGCCATCGGCTATGGCGGCCTTGATTGCTCCCCTCATCGCCACAGAGAGGTTGCTGTTAAAGCTCGGTTGTACTTTGGTAGGATGGGAAGAGTACAATAATAATAAAGGTCTAAAAAGGGAGGAGGAAGGCGGGCGGGTGTACGTGAAATGACCAACCTACCAAGTCCAAGACTCCAAGTCATTGCCAAATTCCATTATTTATTTATTTATTTATTTATTCGTATAAAGGTTTTTCAAATGCCAATTTGTTGTTGTTGTTACCTATCAAACATTTGTTAGGTGGCTAACGGCCATCATTTTTTTATTTATTTTTTTTCCCAAACGATAAATATTGATATAATCAAAAGACATAAATGTGCAAATACAACATACTAATGGTCATTCACTTGTAATATTTCAACAAATATACCTATTTTTATATATAAATACACATATATATATATATATATATATATATTATCGAAAAAAATTAAGACCATTGTTTTTATTTTTTTCATTTTTTTTGTTATATTTTACATTAATCAAATAATTATATTTTTCTTTCATTTTATTACATATTAGCTACACTTAAATAATCATAAAGACACATTAAATCATATACTATTTTTTCAACTTATTAAGCTATTTTTTAATTGAAATTAAATTATTATTTTTTAATGGCGTACCCAAAATACTTAAAATTTCGTACATAATTGATATAATAATATTTTTCAATATTATTTTATCTAATTAATTAGTCATAATTAGTCAAGATTGCAAAAATTACATTATTGCAATCAATATAAAGATTAATATGTGAGTTAAATTGTTTATATTTATGTCATTTATTTTTATTAATGATAAAATTTATAAAATATGATATGCTCATAATTTAATTTATGATTTTAAATAGGGTGTTACTAAATATTGTCCCCTTTTGGACTATTTTTTCCCTGACATTTTATTCAAAAAAAAACTCAAAAATGTAAAAATCTCATGTGGGCCGGCCGGCCGCAACCGTGTACGGCCGTAATTGCCGTTCGATGGGACAGCTTTTTTTATTACTTATAAATTTTTTATTTATGATAGAAATTATTATGTTATAAATTATAATATTATTATGTTAGATCTTAGAGATTATTATGTTACAAATTAGAATTAATTATCTTATAAACTAAAATTTATTATTATGTTAGAACTTAGAAATTCTTATGTTATAAATTAGAATGTATTATCTTATAGAATGTTAGAACATAAAAGTTATTATGTTATAAATTAGAATGATTATCTAGTAAAATTATTTTTGACATAAAAAATTTCACTTTTTGATTAAAATCAATACAATAATTTCATATAATTCCACTTTATAATTAGTTAATAGAACTATACAATTTTTTGAACATATATTAGAATAATAATTATAATTTTTTAAACTAATAATTACTTAACAAACCATTTTATAAGTAACATATTATAATTGAATTTGAAAAAAAAAAAACTGATCGTTTTATCGTGTTCTGAAATACACAAGAGATCCTCTTTCTTAGAGCATCTCCAATGGCTCAATGTCTATTTTAAAATGTATGGTGTGGAGAAAAGAAATAAAATTATTTTGTCTCCAATAGTTAATCTCAATTGTGGGATAAATTGACACTTGTAATATAATAATTGGTTGGTAAGAATATAAATATAAAATAAATAATATAATATAAAATGAAAGATGTCTAGAAGTCTTTCTACATCTAGAAAGACTTCTAGAATTATTGAGTGCCACATTGGATTTTGGAGGCTAGGTGGCAATGGCAGAGAGCAATCCATGTATCATTGGAGATGCTCTTATATGTGATTCACGCGACTCAACCCTAACCGCCGCTAGTCTGCTTTTCGATGCCGATTGACCTTCTTGGTGACGGCGGGGCCTGGCCAGTGGTCATCCCCCGACCGCTCGTCCCGTCTTAGTGCGCCCCGAATTTTGTCGTGTTTTCCGCTACGTTGCTACCTTCATTCGACGGAGATTTGGAGTCTCGAGATGTTGTTCCCATGGATGGAGTCCTGCAGGCGATGGGTGGTTTCCTCTCGGCTCCGCGAACCCTCAATTGGAGATGGTAAGCTCCTCTCTCTCTCTTGCTTTGTCGGCGTTTTAGAGTTTCCTGTTGTTAGTTCTCTCCGGCGGGGCTTCAGGGGCTTCTGGTAGGGGTTGTTGGCCGCGGAGTTCTGCGGTGGTACTCGGCGGCGTGCGGGTCTGAGAATGGGGAGGCCCCGACTGCTGCGACGTCTTCGTTTGTGATGGTCGGGATTGTTGAACTGTACCACCTACCCCCCTTCCCCCCTGTGTCAGCTAGTGGAGTTAGGCAGAGGGGGTCCGGGAACATGACTTTTTAGAGCTCGGCTAGTGGTGTTAGATGGAGTCGGGAGGGGGGTGGGGGTGTTTGGTCGATTATCTCTCGGTTGGAGGTGGGTCGATTCGCGGAATGGTTCGGGGCTCCATTTTGGCTACTGTATAGGCGGTTGCGCAGTTCGGTAGTGGTTTCTCGGGCTACGACTCTTTCTTGTGTTGATTGTGTTAGAGTAGTATACCCGGCGTTCCAATCTGATTGGACGTATTCTACTTGTAAAT